ATCAATGACAGGACGGTAGAGGCAATTGACATCGTCTACAATTGCTGCGTGGCAGTCATGTTAGCGTCCCCCGAGCTGCGGCGGTCTTTGGACACGCTGTGCCGACGCGGAGGCCAAGCGACGGCAGAATATACTTTCCCTCCCTCCACAGGCTTGCTCGCGCACTGCGCGCAGGTAGAGCTGCCAATGAAAGTTGCAGGGATACAGAGTGTGCGCTGGCCGTTCGGGCGAGCAGTGGACAAGGTCGTGAAGTTCACAGATGATTTGCGGAGGCTGCCTGCCACAGGCAACCGCTCTCAGTCAAACACACTGGACATAGCGCATCCAACAGCACACCTTCCCTTTTTCCGTCAATCCCCGCTGAACCATCAGCAACTTGTCAGGTTTCCAGCCCGCCTTTGCGCCCTCGAGCGCGCGAAAGCCATAGTGACTTGCAGCAGACCTCCAGACGTGTTTCTGGTCTTAAGAAAAAAAATATCTTCTAACAGTGTCCACTGACTTTGATTTTCTGAGCTCCCAAAAGAAAGCACCAGGCTGTCAACTCCACGGCCGGCCCCGTCGGCCTCACCATCCTGCCCTTCGCAGCGGGGCGGTGGCTTGCCCCGCCGCATTTCAGTGGGCCAGCGTTTGGTGTCGCAAGTGTGCCCTATGTCACATTTACTTTACATGCATTCCTGCCGTGGCCAGGTGCTTGCTGGTGGCTTGCTCCGCTTTTTTTCCACAAACGACAACGCAGTGAAACAGAAGCCTGTCAGTGGAGGATATTGTTTCATTCAGGACATGTGGCGCCCAGTAGTGCTTGTGGACATAGATGCACATATAGATACCAATACATTTATATACGCAGACCTCTTTCTAATAGAGCGGCCCTCGGGACGCTGTAGAACTATAAAACGGTCAGCTCGGCGGATTACTGGAGTCATTCACTGATCTCTCTCTTGATCAAAGCGTTAGCTCGTGTGATGTGCGTCAGTAAGACGCCAAACTGGCTTGACGTTGCTGATAGCAGAGTTGAGTGCGCAACTTGCAGGGTGACTGATGGGTTCTTCATACAGCAGTGGCTGAGAAAGAAGTCAATGTGGTAGCCAGTTGACCTTCCAAAACCACGTTTGCATTCCCAGCTGTCTTTGGTGGCTTGCCCCAGTCGTAGCTTCCTCACGTCGGACGATGTGGATCCAATATGATGCTTACTTCCGCCTCGATATAGAGCTGGAACATCTCTTGCTTGCTTACAAAGCATGAGCAACAAGACACGCCCCGCAGCGGCGGCTTGCCCCGCCCTTTTTTGCCTGAATGGCTCCAGAGCGTGGGCTGGAGCGCCAGCATTCGGAGGTCTTAGATGCGGCTCCTTTTTCTGAGCAAACCAGACGGAAAAGGAGCCTCCATCCACTCCGCTGTCATTTTGCTTTGGAGCCGACACTGTTGCACCGAGACACCGACGCACCGATTGCAGGAGCGACTGCACCGCTAGACCGAGATCCGCCGTTACGCCAACACACCAATCCGCCGTTACACCGCTATACCGAGATCTGCCGTTCCACCCGCTGGAAAAAAGCAAACTGAGCTTCCATAAGCTCCGCCGTCATTTTGCCTTTTCCAGCGCCTGGAAAAAGGCAAAATGGGCTTCCGAGACGTTCCGCGTCATTTTGCTTTTTCCAGGCGCTGGAAAAAGCAAAATGGGCCTCCGAGACGTTCCGCGTCATTTTGCTTTTTCCAGGCGCTGGAAAAAGCAAAATGGGCTTCCGAGACGTTCCGCCGTCATTTTGCTTTTTCCAGCGCCTGGAAAAAGCAAAAAAGGGCTTCCGAGACGTTCCGCGTCATTTTGCTTTTTCCGGGCGCTGGAAAAAGCAAAATGGGCTTCCGAGACGCTTCGCCGTCATTTTGCTTTTTCCAGGCGCTGGAAAAAGCAAAAGGGGCTTCCGAGACGCTTCGCCGTCATTTTGCTTTTTCCAGGCGCTGGAAAAAGCAAAATGGGCCTCCGAGACGCGCCGCCGTCATTTTGCTTTTTCCAGCGCCTGGAAAAAAGCAAAATGAGCTTCCAAGACGTTCCGCGTCATTTTGCTTTTTCCAGGCGCTGGAAAAAGCAAAATGGGCTTCCGAGACGTTCCGCTTCATTTTGCTTTTTCCAGGCGCTGGAAAATGCAAAATGGGCTTCCGAGACCGAACGGCGTAAAAGCGTCACGGCGTAATCGCGCCACCAAACAGCGTAAAAGCGTAACGACGTAACGACGTAGAGGTTGACTGCCCCAGATCCCCAAACGTCGTAAAAGCGTAGAAGCGTCACGGCGTGAGACCACACCGGATCCCCAAACGTTGTAAAAGCGTAATGGCGTAATCACATTTACGACACCAAATGCTTGACCGCTGCAGTATTATGTTACCAGTACTATGTTAGTATGTGGCCCGTCGCGGCGAAACTACGCTGCAATATGCCGCAACGTCACGCCATGGAAAGTCCGTTTGCGTGGCTCCGCGCGCCGTTGAAGAATGAGAAACATAGGCGTGTAAACGCGGCCTGTCGGTGGTGAGCAGGATGATTGGTCGTGTGTGGCTTTGGTGTGGACAGCCGACAGTCTTGACTTGGGCACCATCGCCATCAGACAACATCTACGACGCACAGCGTAGACACCTGCATGAAATAACAGATCATTGCGTCCACAACACTTTTGTTTCAGAGGCCGGGTCGCTTGCATTGTTTCTCAGCTTCCGCTTCAAACACACACAGACTTGACATGTGTGGCTTTCCGGTTATGTAACTGATTCAATCAAAAGTGGTCGGTTCCAACGCAGATGACGTGGCGCCGGTGAACCTGTAACAAAGCTGATGTTTTTCGCTAAAGCTCATCAATTGTCATCGCAGCTTGTCAAGGCAAAGATGGCCGGTGAATAATGAAGATGTTACACATGTATTCGGTGCGAAGATGATGCGACAGTAAGCGAGATGAGGTGCTATGGGGAAATAGCTTTGATCACACTGACCAAATTGAACCTGAAGTGTTTGTATACAAAGGCGGCAGTTTTTCCTTGATAGGCCAGAGGAGAAGAACAAGGCAAAAGCAGTCGGGGAGATGGACAGTTGAGACACGATGCATCATCATTTCTGCCGCCTCGGGTCCGAGCATTGAAAGGCCACATCTCAAGAGCGCTCGCATGTTTTCCCCAGTGGTGACATGGCCCACTCCAACTCAGTCGCCAGGACTTTCCGAGAATGTAGGGAAGCTTTGGAGATGAATGGGCCCCTGGAGTGACTTTGCTGAAGGATAGAGACGGAAGTCGGAGCATTGGCGCAGCACTGTACAGTACAGCGAACCATCGCAACCTTTGAAGACGCTGGCCCAAGAAAGACATAACCTTGGTAGCCACGAGTCGAACCCCTGCCTATTATAAGTTAGTTTCGAAGTCCCAGTGAGTCGGCGCCTGTTGGCCGGAGAGGCTGAATCGTGGCCAGAGGACGACGAAGCTGCTTGTTTTGTTAGTAGGGGCAACGCGGATCCTCAGGAGGGCGAGGTCCAGCTTGGTGATAACTACGCACAACACCCTGAAGCAGCTGCAAACATTAGCTCCTGGGATTGGCAATGTCAGGATCTGCACAAGTACAAACAAATGGAGGAAATGGAGGAAGCGAGACTGGCCGAAGCGGCAGAGAAATTGCGTTCAGAAAGCAGACGGGAGGCAATCCCCAACAAAGTTCCAAAGCTGCCAAGAAGACGTGAGCGGGAAACCCACCGGGTTACTGCCAGCGCCGGGGCAGGGGAGAGGGTGGAAGCAGCGCTGACAGACGCGAGAGAGGAAAGAACATTGGTTCACTGGTTCACTCATTTCTTAGTGTTGCACACCTCATGGCCACAGGAAGCGCATCATTGAGTAGAGTCGCGGAAGTGTAGTTAAGTTACGATGGCTGCCAACGCCAACTTACTCATCCTGCAGGCAGAAGGGGAGCCTTCAACTTCAACGAAGCCAATCCGATCCGAAAAGGCAGTAGCACAGATATACCTGAAGGGAAATTTGATGGAGAGCTATGTCAGACGCCCAAAGTGTATTGCTTTGAATTCTGGCGAGCGCAGATCTAACAGCTCAGCCGCAAGTCCTCGGCAGGAAGGATTAGAAGCGCGTAGCCGCGGCGGCCATGCTGTGGCTGCAAGACAAAACGCTGGAGCCCAATGGCGCGAACTCATAGCGAAGTGTTTCTTGCCTACATATGGCAAGAGAGCACAGTGAGACGATGGAGAGAGAAACCAAGCCAACGCAGAGAGGGTCACCCTTGGCAGATATAGGGACAAAGCGCTTGAGCAAAGCAACGTTGCAAGGCCTGAAGCGCATCGTGAAGATGATTGATGAAGACGACGAGAAGATGGATCTTGAAGAGTACAATGTGAAATTGCAGCGAAGAAGTGAGGAAAATTGGCAAAGGATTGCAAAGGTTCCAACAAGCAATCGCCAAAGTGGCTGAGAGGAAGCATAGGACAGGAGCTTGAGGAGGGCGCCACCGAAAAGAGCAAAGAAGCAGGAATCAGAGGAGGAGAGAAGATGCGTCATGATGCAAGTGGTCGCGTGAGGGGCCATGTGATGAGAGTGCGTAGCACAATCGAAGGGTTGGACTGGATGATGTCACCCAGGGTGAACGCCACCACCACCCACGGTGCACCCAAGCAGGTGTCGCTCAACGACGAAAGGTTTGACCCTGTGCGAGGGCATTCCAGGAACCACACATGATGTCACATGGTTACTCCTGTGCGCCACCAAAAGTGCTTCACATTTGAGGCCCAAACCCAGAGGTCAAAACACGGACACTTTTTTTTGCCAAGTTCAATCTTAAGCACTGTGACGGTGCAACGCATAGATACCTATATGCTGTTCAACCTTAACTGTTGCTATGGCACAGATGTAGTTGCTGGAGGTCCTCCACTGAACGATTGCATACTTAATTTCCAAAGATAAGGTTTGGACACTGCAAACAATTTGCCCCGTCGTGCACCACTTAAATTATCTTAAATCCTGAGGTGGATCTCCGGCAACACAAGCCCCATCTTTGCAGGCTTGGCAAGTCAGTGGGACCGGAGCGATGCAAAGTATGGTGGTGGGAAAAACTCTTGCGCAGTCTGTTTGCACAACACAATGCATACTCGCTCGAAGTTCTGACTTCACCCCACGCCGTGCACATATGGCCAGAAGGCAAAGTGAAGGCAATGTTGACATAGTGATACTGTAGGTGGCGGCAGCGTTGATGCGATGACAGGAGGTATGGTGAGCACCGCCAAGGTTGGGACCGCTTGGGAGGGCAAACCAAAATTCCCATGAGTGCCTTAATGTTTAAACATTCTGTTGATCCAAGGACTATTCCCGTTTTCTCCTGATGCTGCTCCAGAAGGCTGAGAATTGGCATGCAAAGCGTTGGTGCATTCTCAATTCTGAACAGGGCGAGCTTGATGGCACGAGGGTTCTGCGGTGGGAACCTTTGGCTCTTCTAATCGACACTTTGGTTGTCAGTCTATCAAACCTCAGAAGTATTTGCACTGAAATGCAGACAAGTGTTAAATAATCGCTGGATTCTAGTTGTGGGCGGGCTAGACAATGTCAACAAGAACTGTTTGCGTTTGCCGCATGCACACTCGCTGGCGCTCTGGGCTCGAATTCTCAATAGAAGTCCGTGTCGGTCTGTAACTTTGTTTCCCAGACCGAACATCTCTGGTGGAAACCTGAGGAGCATGTACGTCCCGACGCTGTTCAATTGTTCAAGTTCTGAAAGAGGTAAACGAGAGAACCACCATCCAAAAAGATCCTAAAAGATGAACTCGCCATGACCAATACCGACACATCCAAACAAAGTCATGCGAAATCGAGGTCGCAATGAAGATTATCGCCACTTTGGTGCTGTTGTTTGCGGCGTCCGCCAAGAAGCTCACACTTAGGAGTTCGTTCAAGGCGAGGGTCAGCAAGAAATCTCGATCACTTGAGTCGAGTCCAAGAAATCTTCCCGGGCAGGTAGATCACCTTTCCAAGCCATCCTGCAACAAAATGAAGCAACCTGCTCAGCTTTGGCATTTTTGGCCTTGTTCGAGCGCTGTGTGCATCGAACTTCGCACCCTATGACAGGTGTCCATCAGCCTGGAGGCCAAAAGCCAACCACCACACCTTGAGTGGTACTGCCCCAGAAGACTGCTGTGACCGGAACTCAGCGCAGAAAGAAATCTTTGCAACATGCTCAAAAGGTGTTGCACGCGAAATCACCTATATAAAACTGGCGGAATCATCGAGAATCACTATCCAGATTGTTTGTAGCACAACTGGAAGGACAAGACCTGTGAGCTCTTTGCGTGCCATGGTGCGTACAGATCCAACGAGGTGCAGAACGACCAACCTGCGCACATGTGTAAGACTGATTGCATGGACAATCGGGATGCACTTATATACTTGTACTTGCATTTTGCTCCCAAAAGGCTTACTGGGGCAACGTCGGATCTTCACCCCAAGTTTGCTGCGACAAGATGTGTGGGTCAGGCCCCAAGTTGAGCGGCGGATTGAGCAGCATGTTTGCACCCGCAACGATGTATACATCCAGATCATCCAGTTTCAGTGCTAACGTCATGGTAAAGGCCACGAGAACGCGGCTTTATGAGTGTCAGGACGGAATTCCAATGCGATGAAGGTTATGTCCTGGCTGACCCAACAGCCCCTGGCATCTCCAAGGAGGAGGGGATGGAACATGCAGCAAGATGGAGCAAAAGAACTTAAAAGTCAAAGGTAAGGGCAGACATATTTATATACTGTATATTGATGTATACTGTATATTATATATTAGATTATATAAGAAAATGAAGAGGTGGGACTTTGACCCATGGTTTTTTGCTGCACAGTGCGTGCTTAGAAGGACTGTTGCGAAGCAAAATGCCAACTCTTCAATTGCACAGCTCCCTGGGCTCCAAGTGCAGCAAAGAAAGATGTTGCTTGAGACCCAGAGACTTGACAGACCTTTGAGTACAGAATATGGGACATACCAACCAGGCTTGGGCAGGTTGGACGGTCGGTCAGGAGTGGCAGATCCGCTCCTGAATGCAAGGGCAAGCAAGGAAGTGAGGGTTGACGTGTTGCTCGTCAGGTGTCCAGCAATGCCGAGGACTCCCAGTTGCATCTGGAAATGCTGTTGTTTACAACGTTCGTTGTTCGTCATGTTGGTAGGACTGCTGTGAGAAGACCTGCCACGAACTCAGCAAATGCATTGCCCGGTATTCTTTGTCGAATTTGTTGTTCTCGCCATCAGGTGCTGCTGTGAACTGCTCGATTTCTGGCTGGACAGCAAATGAGAGCAAAGCAACAGAGATTGGTAGCACCCCAGAGGATCGGGACTTTTCAATACTTTTCACTTTGTCAATACGGATCGTAGGCCGCTTATGCCTAAGCCTTTTGCAGGAGTGCTGTATTCCTTTGTGTGGCAACTCAGACCAAGTCAAATGTCCTTTTGGTTGGGCTGTACAAGATGAAGACGCGAAGAAGACAAGCGACGGAACAATGGAGGCAAGGCTGCAGCTTACAGCACATCAGCTGATGTGTTCATTTCTTTGCTGTCATTTAAACAAACCACCTATGAGGAGTGTGGAGGGTTAAAAAGGCACAGCGGAACTCATAGACTGTCCTTGGTTCTTCGAAGTCAGCGTCGCTGTTGGTTTGGGTTTTGTGTGGGGGCTTTGCGCTGCGACACTTCGAGCACTCTGTTGTTTCCTTAAAAGTGTCGAATCCAAGGGAATGGCAGGTTGGTCACAGGAGTTCTGCACAGAGCCGACCAGTGTTGCCGCTGCATTGCCAATGATGGGGCTAACGAAGGTGGCGCAATGGCAGGGCAGGGGCCTGGTTTTGTCAACGGCTGGCCGGTGCGCGCAGCATTTGCAGGATGCGCTTTCACAATGCGACCTGTTGATCCGAAACCAAGGGGGTAGCCTTCGTCAAGCGTGTTCGCTTGAGCTTGGCTCCGCGAAACTTCTTCCTTCAGCGAGTTCAGGAAACGCGCACTTGAAATTACTGTGCAACATTGTGCAACAGAATATAGATGAATATAGGACCTACGTCATTTTTGTGGGTTGAATTCTCCACAAAACCGATTGGGCGAACGTTTGTGGTCGGAAGGCTTGTGTCCGCGACACTCACAGATCCACGTAAATCAGCTCAGCGTCGGAGCGCAGTTCTGAAGCAAGCAGAAGACCTTGAGTTGTTGTTCCTCCACGAAGTTGCAGGTTCCGAGTAGACTCACGCTGACTTGCATGCCACACGCACTGCGGCTTGGAGCCCAAGCACTCGCGGAGCCTCCTGTATGTAGAAGGGAGGCACAGCAATGTTCCGTGACAATTTCTGCAATATCGTCGGTATGAGCAAAACAAGCAACGATGATGCGATTGTAAGGTTTAGGAAGAGATATGAAGGAACTGTGTGTGTGTGGCAACATCGCGCCCAGTTCCTGAAGAGCTCAGTTCTCTTTGCCGCATCACTCTTGACTCCACAAGTGACTCCACGAGCGCCATCCTATGGTAGATGACTTGGAAGCTGTGTTCAGACACACGCTCCTTGAGCATGGGTTTGTGCCCTCAGCTTTGCACTTTGCACTTACTGTAAATATGTAAAGATGTTCTGGCCGTGGCGTGCCCTGGCCAGAATGTTGTTTAAATTTGTATAAACGGTTCCATAAAATATGATGAGGCATTCATGACTCTGCTTACGATCTTGTAAACCATCTATATACTTGTTAAACATATGTATATATTTTATATTACATATTGTAATATGTGTCTAAATAGGGAGTAATCTATGCTTTTGTTTTTGATTTTGTACAATGGCTTTCCGCCAGTCAGGGCTCCAGCAAGGGTTGGCAATACAAAACAAAATAAAAGGACCGGATAACCCCACATGATAAGTTTTACAAATTTCAAATGTATATGAACATCACACGGGAGACGGAGTAGTGAGATGAAAAGTCAAGAACGAAGTGTGAGGAGAGAAGGTATATGAGGCGGTTGTGCTAAGACGTGTAGTATAAGTGATGATGTGATGGACGAGGATGAGAATGGGGAGGGAGGAGGTGTGTGTGTGTGGTAAGATGGCGTGCGTGTGTGTGTGTGTGTGTGGGTGTGTGATAAAGTGTCTGATGATGTGATGAACAAGGATGAGAGGGACGAGAGAGAGAGAGAGAGAAGGAGGCGGAGAGAGAAGTTTGGAGGCTCTGGATTTTGCGATCAGATCCGCATGAGACCTTCAAAACGTAACGCACTCGAAACGACCATCAAAGCTATCAAGTGGTCTTATCCCGACCACGGCGGGCAGTGTTAGCAGGATGTAAAGCAAGAAGAGGTGAGACACGCTTGGCTTACAATGCGATTCCGAACCAGTGAGAACCCTTGCTATGCAAATCACAATGGCAGTAGCGCACACAACCGCAGGGGGGCCCAGCGGCGACTCCGCACGCCGCAACCCCTTCTAGAGGCTCTGGCGAGAACCGTTGCTACGCAA